AATATTTCTATAGTTTTTAAAATGTTTTAGAGGAAGATGTTGGATAGAAAACGATACTTACATGTGGTGGTGCATATTTTAATATTTTCTGGTCTTTTTCATCAGATCAACTCCATGAATTAAGTGGCATTATTGTTCCTATTTTAGAACAGGATGCTGGGGCAAAAGAACCTTAAGGACTTTACCCAATATCATACAGCCAGTGACAGCAGGAGGCAGGATTTGAACCCTGATATTAATATTTCTGCTTCCAAAATGTCCTGCATGTGAGCTAGGCTGAAACACTTAGAAATTGATCTTTTATGTCATTTTCTCACAAACTATTTTACATGATTAACCTAGAAGCAGGGATTGCCTCTTCTATAATGAGCAGTTAGTTTGCTGTATGTCTTCAAGGCCAGACAGTAGGCTCTGTGGGGTATTATGTCCATCTTCTGACCACTGTCTCCAGGGATTGCCTGGCTAATGGTTAGTATTCTATAAGTGTCAGGTGAATGACTAATAAAATCAACAAAGCTTTGATTATGTCTGCCTTGTCTGCTCATCTTATCGCACTTTTGTTATCCCATGTATAGATGTCATTTTTTAAGAGAACCAGTGGAGAGGCATAAGTAGTTATGAAAGACTCAGCTTCATTACTGTTAAGTACAGCTTAATCAACTTTGACATCCAAAGAAGAACCCTTTCAATTAATGGAGACATTAATTAAAATCATGCCCCTTCTAAAATGACCACTCAGTTTAGAAACTCGAAGATGTAGAACATTTGGGCTTTCCACCAGCACACAGAGATTTTGGCTAGAATGTATGTGGTACTCAGAATGCCATCCTCTCAGATCTTTATTTGAGCAGTAAACACATTTTAAAAACACATCGTGTTGTCTCTAAAAATAAACGATATTTCAAAAGCAAAACCAGTGCCCAAGTAGTTGGCACATCTGGTAGTCAGAAAAGCTGTATGGTTTGTTTTTAGGGAAGAACAAGCCAGGGAACATTCAAACTTGGCCAGTTGCAAACTTCTATCTGTGATGACACCTGTTTTGTTTTTTTTGTTTTTGTTTTTTTTAAATTGGCTCTAGGCTCAAAGAAGAAAGAACAGTGGAAATGGGCAAAGCATTAAACAGAACCATTTACTATCTTGTGTAAGGAATCATGAAGAACTGTTTTCTTCTTCAATAAAGTAGAATAAAAAAGCAAAGAGAGGCATTTGGCACCCACTGTACCTACTGTGTGCTAGACAATGTGCTGAGTCTTTTATGGGTGTTGTTAATGCTAAACATAAAGGTACCTATGAGGTGGTGTTAGTTTTCCTTCTGTCTGGTAGATGATAAGAGAGAACTACTGCTCATATATATTCAATAATTTGCCTGGGTTGCACCGAGAGCTGATGACAGACTGGCTGCCTGCAGAACCCATACTCCAAAGCTCTACACCATTCTGAGTAGCCTGAAGCTGATCATATGACTGGTATTCTGACAAAGAATTAGACATTGATGCTTTGTGCAAGTGGCTCTTGGTCAAACTGTTGTTTACTTCCCTTTGTGAGGTAGAGGATGCCATTTTCCAGATAATTCTTATAGCTGCATAAAACTGCATGTTTCCAGGGCAGGGAGTTGTGGCGCACGCCTTTAATCCCAGCACTCGTGAGGCAGAGGCAGGCAGATCTCTGTGAGTTCAAGGCCAGCCTGGTCTACATGGTGAGTTCCAGGACAGCTGGGGCTACAGGGAGATCAAAAGTCCAAAAAAAAAAAAAAAAAAAAAAAAAAAAGAGAGAAAGAAAGACCTGTTTCCAAGAAATCCACTCTTCATTATCAGAAGCTGTCACTCCTCTGTGATTAGAGGATGTTAAAGTTGACCAGTAGATTTGGCGTAGGGGGGTGAAATAGTGAAAAATGATGACGATACTGGGGAGAGAAGGACTGATGTGTCTTTATTACAGAACAAGAAAAAGATGTGACTGTCTAAGGTAGAGGGTTCCGTGGGCAGTTTTGGTTAGTGTAAAACTCTGGACCAGGAAAATGAGTGAATAATTACCACCCCCACCAGTTTCATCTTCCATTCAACTTGCTCAGTTACATTGTAGAGATGCATCAAAAGATTGACTCAGTGTGGATTTATGATTATGGTACTCTGTTTCACAAAAAGACAGGAAGGCTTCTGTGGAAATAGTTGAACAGTATTTAATATTCACTGTAACTGTATTTTATTTGGATTCATTCATTCGCAATTTAACCAGATAAGTTTTACTGTGTACTGTATAATAGACCCTCAGCTGGGTCCTAAGGAAGCAGAGATACCCCCTACAGGGGCTTAATCTAAAAAGCATTAAAGTACAAAAAAATAGGACAGTGGGACATAAAAAGTTCATTCCCTGAGGTGTTCTAGGTGTCATGGGAGATCACAGGGGAATGAAAGGCTAAATCACTCAGATCCAGCCCTGTGACGGTGACGGTGGGGGAGGGGAGATGGGTAAAGGTCTTCGGGTTGAAACCTTAAAGATGCAGAAGTGCTCACTAGATAGGGAAGTTAGGATCAGAGCACTCTAGGGAGAGGAAGGAACATGAAGAAGACTTAAAGTAAGTTTCAGTCATCATAGTTGGCATTTATCAATTCTCAGGCATACACATTTTCATCACATCTGTGAAATACAGATACCACACACAAGCTTAATTAACTATGACGTTTTTACTGATACACAAATAATGATACGCTTTATGTAGACTTTTAGATTGGATAAAATCTATATTAATATGCTTACCAAGTAATATTTCTTTTTTTTTTTTTTGACATTTTGAGACAGGGTCTCCCTGTTGTAGTCCTAGCTGTCCTGGAACTCACTATGTAGACCAGGCTGGCCTCACAAAGATCTGCCTGCCTCTGCCTCCCAAGTGCTGAGATTAAAGGCATGCGCCACCACACCCAGCTCCAAATAATATTTCTTACTGTTACAGTGACTAATGCCTTTATTTTACAGACAGATAAATGTTAGTAGTTTTATTGAAGAGAAAATAGACATAAAATGACAAAGCTGGGTGTGGTGGACATGCCTTTAATCCCAGCACTCGGGAGGCAGAGGCAGGCAGATCTCTGAGTTCAAGGCCAACCTGGTTTACACAGTGAGTCCCAGGACAGCTGGAGCTACAGGGAGACCCTGTCCCAAATAGACCAAAAAAAAGAGACAATGCCTTATAGAGTAGATGGCATTCTCTTTGACAGAATACTTGACACCTAATCTTGCTTTTAATAGCAATATCTGGTAGTAATGGAACCTGGGGAGGTAACTCAGGTATGTTATATCCTAGGTTAGGCTACAAACATCACATTGCCTTTTCCTGGGTAAAAGGTAACTTGAAGTGCAAATGGCTTAGAATTGGCAAAGATGCTCAATTTACAATATATTCTATAAAACTCTACCCAGCACTTTTGATGTCAAGACAAAGCCCTTATGGTCCAATGCCTTATAAGTTATGAAAATGGAGTATCAGCTACTGTTCGTTGAAGACACAAGAAGATGGATTAGGTTTCTGCTGTAGGAGGAGGGGAGAGGTGAAGTTGTAGTTTGCCAATCTGAAAAAAAATGATCTAAGAAAATTTTTGGAACTCATAATCTTGGAAAACATTCAAGAAAGAAAGTAAGCACCCAGAATCCACAGGAAAGCATGAGGGTGCTGTGGAAGTACATCCTAGGGTGTGAATTTCTGCTGACATTAGTTCCCTGTGTGACCTTAGGAAGGCCATTTGAACTGAGATTTAGCTTCTTGGAGCTGGGGTAGAGCAAACTCCTGGCAGTTAACAGTGCTGTGACTTGACCGTGTTTGAGGTGTGCCTCTGCTGATGGGAGCCTGGCAGCTCATGGGCCTACTTTGTCTTTGTCTTGAGGGGCTCTTAGAAGAAAATGCGACAAAAATGATGGCAAATAAAGGGGTTCTTTGGCAGTTGATTTAATTTTGGAAAAAAGCAAAATATGAAATTTTGCTTCCTAGGGCAAAAGAAAGTTACAGTGATACTTTCCACCTACTTTGACCCCAAATAAGTCCATAACAAAGATGGGGAATAGAGCAAGAAATTAATTTTCATTTGTTAGAGGTGGGGAGAGAGCATACAGCTACTGGGACTTGATCAGATCATTGGCAAAGATGTTTGAAAAACTACTTCCATGTGAAAGGAATGTCTCAAATGATTCAACTCTTGCTATTATTTTTGATAAATGAGTCATGGCAATGTTTGCTCTTTTCCATAACGACAAAGATTCTTGTGGGTTCTTTGCTTTTTTTCTTTTCTTTGTCCTTTGGGTACATACCAGATTTTTCTACATTGGAATATTATAAGTAATGAAAACCAAAAAAATTATGTCAAATTTAATTACCTTTCCAAATGAGTATCTTGTGGCTTTCTTAGCTTGAATTTTAAAGAAAAGAAATACTAAACAAAACACAGAAACAAGTCGATATATGTCCGATGACAATTTACTGGGAATGAAGAGGTAAAATCAAGGTTGAAGGGATGTAGCCTGACTGTAATAGCCTTTAAAAGAAAGTATTTGGAAGTCCAGATTTGGAATGAAATAAATCAGGTAAATGGGTTTTCCCTTCAGCAGTGTTGACTTTGCTGGGTGATTCAAAATAGCTACTCTAGAAAAAAACTGATTTGATATAAGTAATTCTATCCACAAATCACCTTAACCTTTCAGCTAAAAATATTATAAAATATGATTCTCTCTGTAATTCTCAAATATAATTCTTATTTTTGTAAAGGAGTAAAATTTAACCACATTTGGTGTGAGTGATTATGAAAAGGTTTCTATTGTAGTCTTTTCATTGGAATTAGTGGAAGCTTTTGTTATCCCAATACTAAAAAGACAGACAAGGACAACCTGGGCTACATGATACCCTGTTATGGACTGCTTCTAAAGATGAGTCCTGATATAAGTGTGCACATATGTGTATGTACTGATTGCATATATAAGGGACATGAAAGCTAACCTGATTCATTTGTTTTTAGGGGCTCTTGGCTTTGGGCCTCAGTGCAAGTCCATTGGAAAAGGCAGCTGCAACAATCTAGTGGTCACCAGCAGTCCCATGATGGTTCAGCGACTGGGACCCATTTCACCTCCAGCAAGCCAGGTCTCCACAGCATGCAAGCAGATCAGTCCTAGCTTACCGAGGGCAGTGAATGCAGCCAACCTGAATAGACCTCCTTCTGATACCAGGTCTCAACTTACTTTTTTTCCCTCCTCTTTATGGTATAATCACACCGTACAAGTGGTTTCCTGTCTCCTCCCAAACATGAATGTGTACAGACACAGACACAGACACAGACACAGACACAGACACAGACACAGACACAGACACACACACACACACACACACACACACACTCGCTCTCTCTCATAGATGCAACTCTTTCAGTTTTAAGTTTGTAGGAGAATGTGTCTAAAAACTGAGTATATGCTATGATATCTGCTAAATCAGGAGGAGTTGTTTAATGCTGTCTTGTAGTGTGAGATTTGGGGGTCTCAGAGACTGAAGCCCAGTCTGTAAATTTGTCACTTCCTGTCAAAGCAAGTCATGCTGTGGCCAGCTGAGATGTTCTCTGCTCACCTAGTATCCCTGCTAGGTTTCTAAGGTGTGTGTTGCAGAGTCTCTGAATTGCTTTACAAGCTGTTTGTCAGCCCATCCATCCTCCCACCCACCCATCAATTCGAACATGAAATTAAGTACCTAGTGTGTACAAAGCACAATAATTTAAGGAAGTAGTAGAGAGAATAAGATAGAAACCATGAATTATGATGTATATGGGGAGTCATATTTTCCTGGTTACATGTCCCTTTAATGAAATATTTGATTAGGTGGCAGAGTAAGTAAAGTTCAATAATGCCATATGTCTGTCTCCATTCAGAAGAGTTAAACAGAAAAGAGAAACCGCTCCCCTCCAGACAAAGTTTTATTTGTCTCAAGGTTGATATGGGGGGGGGGTGAATAAAAGAGAAATACAGTGTAGTGGTTATGGCCTATTTCTTTTGAAATTAATTATTTCATCTTTTAGAAGTTACACTTCTTGAAAAGCACAGCGCAAAACTTTTCTTGTGAGTCTGGTTCTGCTGTTATGGATTTTGCCTGGGTCTCTGCTTGCGTTTTTTTTTCCCTCCCTGCAGCCTATAGCCTGCTAAGGTGCCTCATGCTTCTGAAACCAGGTTTTTCTTTCCTTTCCTTCCTTCTGCTCATCTTTTTCTGCTCTTAGATTCCTGCACAATCTTCCTAGCCTCCAACTGAGACTCAGAAATCATAGTTCCTGGATCATTTATTTATGCCAATTTTTTATGCGGTGGAAACTTATTTTCCACCTGAGACTTTAGTGATGGGAAGCTACTGTCACTTTCCCATTGATGATTATGCCTTAAGGGACTCCTCAGCCTCACTGAGCACTGCATGTAAAATTAACTGTGCTCATGGGTGGGTGTCACTGGAAGCCTTCAGTTTCCTGTCTGTGGCAAGTCCAGCCCATGCCTGGAAGGCAGTCATAATTAATGGAGAAATTGATGGTAGGCAGAACCCAGGCTGCTCAAGCCAGGTGCCTTACGCAGTCCCTTTCATAGGGCAGCCAGAGGGGTCATTATCTCAGTGTTTCCTGGCATATCTGATTCCTTAGCATAATATTATATCCTTAAAAGACAGCTTCTTGACGATGCACTGACAAGTGGTTTTGACTGTGTATTCTGTGAGCCCTTCTTGGGGAATATGTGTAAATTTTGGGGGGTGGGGTAGGATGAGCACAGAAACAGGAGTTGAGAAATAGATTGGTGAAATGCAGGATGGAACCCACTTTTAGCAATTTGGAAAGGTCGCTTATTAACTGTGATCTTTAAATTGGCTTGTGTGTTACATCAGGGAGAGAAAGGATAAGAGGCAACAGTTCAACCTGAAGGCATTTTACAGTCTAGCACTAACAAGAAGATGGTATAGGAATCATCTGAGTGCTTCATGTATCAGTCTTGTGGGAGCAGATGGGAGCCAGAGAAGTCATGAACTGTTCAACCTGCAAGATGTTTGCCTTATGAAAAGCTGCAAAATTTATTGTTCTTTTCCCTCCCTGATTGCCTGTGTAATTCCAATTTATTGTAGAAAATTTGGGAAATATGGAAAAGTATCAGGTAATAAATGGTGATCTTCTTGCGTCTCATCACTTTGAGTTTACTAGGAGTGAAAGTTTGATAAACACTGTTCCAGTTGCATTCAACTGCATGCCTTATAGGCACCGTCTTTCCTTGCTATCACATTGACCTCATAATAGGCACAGTTTTATAACCTTTCCCTATATATAACATAAGCTCTTGTAAGAAAAGTCTTAATTTCCATATCATTGTTTCTGCCTCAAATTCCATTTTACAAAGAAAAAAGTAAAACTAATTCTTATTAGTCTTTTATTACTGAGTATTTACTTCTTTCTCGTATTTTAGCATTACAAATAATACCTTACTAGATTGATCCTGTAAATCTTTTTGTTACTTTTTTATTTTATCTCATTTAGTTTTTTTTTTTTTGTTGTTGTTGTTACTTTTTGAGACAGTGTCTCATTATGCAGCCCTTGCTGGCCTGAACTCACTATATAAACCAAGCTGGCCTTGAAATCACAAGACATCCATCTACCTCTGCTCCTGAGTCCCGTGGTTGAAGGCTTGAACCTCACACCCAGTCTGACCCTGTAAATCTTTTATTATATACCTCTTGTGATTAGAACAATTTTTTAGAAGTTAAAATTTGCTGGATTAAAAGGGATGCGTAGTTTTGATGCTTTTAATACGTATTTTCAAATTGCATTGCAAAGAAGATACACCCATGTGTTAAATACCGATAATCCCTGATAGTGCTTTTCTTTCTGAGACTTTATTCTGTTTTTAGATCAGGTTGGCCTCAATCTCACCAAGATCCACCTGCCTCTGCCTCCTCAGTGCTCAGATTAAAGGCGTGCACCAGGACTGGAGAGATGGCTCAGTGGTTAAGAGCACTGGCTGTTCTTGCAGAGGATCCATGTTACAATTCCCAGCAGCCACACATGGCAGCTAACAACCATCTATAACTCTGGTTCCAGGGGATCTGATGTCCTCTTCTGACCACTGTAGGCACTGCATGACATGGGTTGCACCCACCTACATGCAGGCAATGCACTCATACACATAAAATAAAATTAATAAAAAGATTTAAAGCCATGTACCACAGTACCCAGCATTGTTTTATGATCTTAATTCATATTTATTCATTACCCATAATGTTGAATAGATTTTCAGAGATTTGATGGCTACATTTTTTTTTCTTTTGACTTCACTTGAATATGTTTTTCTTCTGGGGTATTTCTCTGAGAAAACACGTTCATTCCTTAGTTTTGTTGTACTCTGTTTAATCCAATAATGATCATTGTTCCCCAGTTCTGTATACTTGCTTTGATTAATTCCCAGTCATTTATGATTAGCCTACCATGATGACAGGTAAAAAGTCAACTGTGTTGAAGATTCAGGAGCCCCTTTCAATGTAGGGACTGTTCATACTCTGCTGCAAAGACCATTGCATATATATCCCTCAAACAACAAGTACCGAAACATCAGCCTCATACAGTGGTTTAATATTTCAGACTTGCAGAAGTTAATCAATAGAACAGATGGGATGCTGCTTGTGTGGGCTTTGTAGATATTTAACTTGCCTAGTGTTTCTACATTCATTGTGAACTTGAGCTTATAATTCAGTGCTCAGTGTTCCTAGCAGGTATCATCCTTGTTGAAGATGTGATAGACTCAAAGCATATAAAACCTAATTGATTTTTCCCAGTGTCATTTTCTTAGCTTGTCATTCACAAAGGTCAGTCATCATCTAGATCATTCTAGATCCAAAATGGCTCTGCAATTGTCTTTTTATTTTTTAAACTTGAAATTGTTGGTGATAATTGCCTTTTTGTTTGCAGTATGGTCACAAAGATCAAAGAAACCCCAGAGGGTTGAAGGCGGGCTCTAGGCTTGTGAATGAGAACATTTTATGCAGCTGTTTAGTGTTCAGATGCAGTGCTAATTTCTTTGGGAGATTTATTGAGCTACATTGATAAGAAATTCCAGGTAGATTAGCACTGTTCTTTTTTTTCCCCCTAGGCTCTGTGGATTTATGCTATATATATACCATATATCACATTATATATTACATATGTTTTACATATAGACATACTTTTGCCTCATGAACATCAGTGTGAGGAATTCCATATGATCTTTTAGTTAGAACTTCTTTTAAGCTTGGCATTGAACAGAAACCTCAACTTGGTCATCATAACTCTTACGGCTCAAGGTGAGCACATTCTTGCTGATGGTTTCTGAGTTTTTCACATTGCTTTTATTTTGTTTGAGATCTGCCTTCTTGCCTTTCACGTATAGTTCTAAATAAACCAGTCATCAGAAATAATGTCGTTAAGATCAGCTGAACATACGGAAAAGGAGATTGCTCTGGGTTTGCTGACACAGCTTCCTGAGTTCTTTGTCACTTTTCCACAGGCCTCGTGTGTGTAGCAGCAGGGGTTACAGGCTAGAATCCTTGGCAACCTTCACACTCCTTCAACATACTGCTGCAGAAAAAACCCATAACGTTTGCTTTGCAGCCTTAGCTTGTATGAAGTTAAGCCTGTTTTCCTAGGTCTTTCAATCAAGTAGAGCATTGTGGGCCACATGTGGGCCACATTGTGAGGGCAATGGAATAAATGTAAGGCTTCTGCCATCATGTTTGCACTTCTACTCTGCTAAGGACTTCTCATCTCCCCTTTGCTGTGACCAGGAGGATTTCCCCAAATCTCTAGTTATTTTCTTCATAGACTAAAAGTTACTTAAATCTAGTTTACTTACCTCAAACTCTATCAAATAAATTAATATATAAAAATCCCTTATAAGCTATCAGTGATGATTAGTTATTACTATAATTATTGTTTAAATCTTATTTATTTTTCTTTGAGATAGTATCTTGCTATATAATGAGTTGACCTTGAATTTATGATCATCCAGCTTGAAGCTTCTGAATGCTAGGATGGGATTGCAGGCTTCCCTCACCATGCTGGGCTCTGCTTTATTTGCTTCATTGATCAGCAAGTCTTTGAGTACTTAGTTTGTATTTAATACTCTGCTGGGTTCTGGGGAGATAAAAACTATCCCTTCAGTTGAAAGGCCTTGCCAGTTGTTGAGAAAGATAGATACCCACGGATACTTCAGAGTGTGGTGCAAATAGTAGAACTTCTTTGGAGAGAGGACCTTTACAGAGACAGAAAGATTTCATGGAGTAGAATTTTGAATGATTCAAAGGCCTGGTAACTGCATGGATGTCAGGTGATAGCCATTTATTGGAAGTTTTGTCCTTATTTGATGTTTGAGATGACAGGGGAGGGAGCAGCATAATTTAATTCCCTGTTCATACCATGGCTTTAATGACAAAATATAGAATTTGCTTTCTAAAGAAAATATTTGACAACTGCCTTGGAAAACCGAGGTGCTGAAGAAGTTAAACAACATATTTGCACAGAGTTATGCTGTGATTTTAATTAAACCATATTAGGCAGAACTTAAGAGAAAGGAGAATTCTCTCTCAATATTGGAACAGTGAGCGTGCTTCTCTACGCTGCCCTCAAACCAAACAATACAATTTCACCAGTAACATTTATACAGATAAATGAGCTACTTTGTTAGTCACTGCTTAAAAGTTTGAAATGTTCTAAGATGGCCGGCACCTGAGAGCGGGCATCCATCCAACCGCAGAGCTTTGACGCTCTATTCCATAGTTTCCTGACTGCAGGGTGAAAAGCAGAGTCATTCGTCTCTGCTTTCTATATGACATAACCACTGATGTAGCTTGTGTCCAAAAGCAATTCCCACTTCTCACAAGGCTTGGGATCAAATACACTTGACATCCACCAACAGGAGCTTTCTGTTGAGCTCCGCAGGAAGAATCCCCTCCCATGTTGTAAGCATGCTAGGAAAGCAACTGAAGAGTGTCCATGGAGAATTAAAAGACAGATGGTTCAGAAACCACTTCGGGGCTGCAGAAGGACTTCAGCCCAAATGTAAGGATGTGAAGCAAGAAACAAATCTAATACAAGGGCATTGACACAAATTCCTGCTGTGTTTGTCGTTGGTAAACATTACCGCACCTGATGGCACCTTCACATGCAACACCTTAAACTGTGCTTTTCAGAGCTGAGGGACATATTTTCTTGCCAATATCCCACGCTCAGAGGAAACAGTATTCTTGGTTTCTATTTTGTGAACTGGAGGAGGAGCAGGTAGAATGATGCTTCCCTTTTCCTTTGGTTTCTTCACAACAGGTTGATGTTTAACAACTGGACATAGTAAATGTATCCATTTAGGGAAGTTACACATTTTATATTTTTTGTGATTAATTTGTTTAAGTAAGAAAGGGCTCCTAGAATGCTAGTTGCAGGCACAAATAAGAAAGGTCTCTGTAGAAAGCTAGTTGCAGGTGCGTATCAATAAGCGAGGCTTTCTGCTATCTACTGCATCTGAGTCAAATCCGGTGTCTTTATGTGTGTACATCGACCCTATTTGGAATGAATGTTCTGTCCAAGGGACATAGCTTTTCTCTCCTATTGTTTTTAAGGCAATAATGTCCTTGTAAAGCAAAATGAAATTTCAAGGGTGTAGAAGTATATTTTGAACCATTTATTGTAAACAGTGTATTGTGACACATAAAGCATTCTTTTGTAAAGGGTAAGAACAGGAAGAGAATGATTATAAAAGTGAAGCACTGTGAGTGAGTGACCCCTTCTTAGCCTGAAACTGCTCTGATTCAAGGACAGCTGCTCACAGGAAACCCATCTAACATGGGCCGATGCAGGGCTCCAAATAGGACTTTGCCGTTTGTTACTCCTCTATAACGCTAGTCCATTTTATTCAAGGGTATATTTTTGTGCTAGAGATTGAACCCAGTGCTTCCTGGATGCTAAGTATACACTTTATCACTAAACTATACTCTGTACCCATGTATTTTACATTTTTATAAATTTACTAGCATCCTTTGATATGACTGTTTGTAGTGTAAATTGCTCTGTAAAAATCTTAATAATTCCCTAATATCAGTGAAGCTATATTGTGAATGTATTAGTAAGTTTCTTAGACTACCCTTTAGTTTTCAAGATTTACTTTAAAAATATCCAGTCAAGCATGAGTTTTGATGTTACTCAACAAAATAAATTTTCCCTAAAGGGTAGGACTGTTTAGCCTACACAGCATTGCTATACACAGTAGGTGCTTAGCAAATACTCTGATTTACCGTGACAGACATCTACAATTATTTTTCAAGTCCCTAATTGTTCCCCTCTAAATTAAAAAAAAAAAAGGTATTTTGAAGTGAAGTGAGGACTGTCATTAAAGTACTAGAATTATTTGTAACAACAGATCTTTTGTTTTATTATTTCACTAAGCATTAGCTTGTATTCTTTTTTGGTAAAATATTATTTAGTTGGAACTAGAAGCCTTGGATTTTATCATAGCCCAGGAATGCCTGTTTAGTGATGGGTGTAATTAGGGGAAGTACTTAAGGGATTGTCAGTGTAATATTCTCTTGGTTTTAAGCAATCCATACCCAGCTAAAATGGTATTTGTTTTTCTTCCCTCTGGCTGCTGTTCTAGGTCCCTTATTTCGCGAGAGTCGTTGGAATCCACGACTTTGAGTCTGACAGAGAGTCAGTCGGCTTTGAGCGTCAAGCAAGAGTGGTCCCAGAGCTACAGGGCTTTCCCTTCACTGTCTTCCAACCACGGCTCTCAGAATGGTGTGGATCTAGGAGACCTCCTTAGCCTTCCTCCTGCCACATCCATGGCCAGCAACAGTGCCTCCAACCCATTGCCGCCCTACCTATTTGGCATGGAAAATAGCCACTCTCCTTACCCTAGTCCCCGGCACTCAGCCACCAGGTCCCACTCGTCCCGGTCTAAGAAGAGAGCGTTATCCTTGTCCCCGCTGTCCGATGGCATTGGAATTGACTTCAATACCATCATACGCACCTCCCCCACATCCTTGGTTGCCTACATCAATGGATCAAGGGCCTCCCCAGCCAACATGTCCCCACAGCCAGAGGTCTATGGTCATTTTCTGGGTGTTCGTGGTAGCTGCATCCCCCAGCCATGCACGGTACCCAGTGGCCAGAAGGGCGTGTTGGTGGCCAGTGGTGGGCAGGTACTGCCAGCCTATGGCGAGGATGGCCCGCTGGAGTACGAGCGCATGCAGCAGCTGGAGCATGGTGGCTTGCAGCCTGGGCCTGTCAACAACATGGTAGTGCAGCATGGCCTGCCGGGCCGGGATGGGCAGCCAGCCAGTATACTTAAGACTGAGCGTGCAGAGGAGTTCCCAGGGGGTGCCTTGGACTTGCCTTCTGCCCCACCTCTCCCTTCTCTACCCCCACCTCAGGGGCCCCCACCACCCTACCATGTCCATCCACATCTTCACCACCCAGAGCTACTATCCCATGCTCAGCCACTGGCCCTGGCCCAGGCGGCCCTGGATGATGATGGGGAGATGGACGATGCAGGGGGCAAACACTGCTGTCGTTGGATAGACTGCAGTGCTTTGTATGACCAGCAGGAGGAACTAGTGCGGCACATCGAGAAGGTCCATATAGACCAGCGCAAGGGAGAAGACTTCACCTGCTTCTGGGCTGGCTGCCCTCGCAGGTACAAACCTTTCAACGCCCGCTATAAACTGCTGATCCACATGAGGGTCCACTCTGGGGAGAAGCCCAACAAGTGCACGGTGAGTTTCCGATGCCCCGGGGCCACTTCCCTTGTTGGCTCAGCTTGCTTTTCATGCTTGCAATTTACCAGACATGGCCAAGAGGTCAGGTAATGGTTTGTGGAACTTGGATGCCTGGTGGTGAAGGTATCCATGAGGTTGGATGCCTCTTCACCCTGGGGGAGGGGAAGGGTTCTTTGATGATTGGTGGCTGCTGGTTTGTCTTTGTTTCTAGGTTCTCTTCTGCAGAGGGCCCTGCCACCCATGTACAGGAGGCCAGTGGGCAGCACTGTTGGCAGTCTGGAACAATGTGGGTGGGACACAGACTTGGAGTTCTCTTAGCAGCTTGGATGTTCAGGAGCAGAGGGACCATGCATGGCACCATAAGCAAGCTTTAGCCCTTTTCCAAAGAAAATACTCATTTTCCTTTCCTCCAGAAATTTGGGTGAGAATTGGGGTCGGAGAGGAGTGGTTCTGATGTTTCAGAAAGGAACTCACCACTTACTTAGCAACTTGGCTCATGGAAACATCACTGCATGCACCCTCCAGTATACTACCTTCCAGGGTTGTGAGACTTGTTAATGATTTATAGTCAGCAAAGAAACAAGGAGTTACCACAGGAATGGAGTCTCATGGGATCTCACTAAATTTTGAGGACAGAGAGTTTTGTGGAAGGTACAAGGAGAGCTGAGGAGGCTGTATGTGCCTTTGGTGTTGAAGCAGATGAGTCTGCTTTTTCCTGCCTTCCTTTTTCCCGACAGTGATTCAGGAACTGTCACACCATTTCTTGGAGAAATTTACTGTTTTTGAATAATGCTGTTCTTAAATGATTTCACAACAGTTTCACACCTTACAGAAACCCTCAGGACTAATAAGCAGGACATCTCTCTTGGGATCAGAAGGATGGTTTTACATGATTGGAGACAACCCACTGAACTCTTGGAAAAAGAAGAGCATATCTTTTACATTAGTTTAGATGGACAGGAATATTTCTTCAGAGTTTGAATCTGAGAATTCTATATCGTCCCTTAATATTGAGAGTTTGAGAGATCAGTAATACCTGGAAAATATAAATAAAGTCGAAAAGGAACTTATTTTGTCTGTGATCTCCCAACCAGTCTTGGCTTTCTATAGTATGTTGTGATACAAAGAATCAGGACCATGCTTATGCTTGATTGAGATTGCCCAAGCTCTCTGATTCATGTAAAAGCACACCATACAGGTGATAGCTGGAATGCAAGAATTAGAAGCACTTTTCCACCATCCAGTAGGTATTTTTGAAAGAGTTTTAAGGATTTCTGGTGGAATAAAATTGTGTTTCTTGTCATTACGTTATGTCCCATGTTGTGATTTTTCTTACAGAAAACCTGAGCTGATACATTGTGAGAGTGCCAGGTTCTATGAGTGAAAAGAATAATTACATTCCAGGAAGCAAAACCTTACTCTGTTAGTAGGGTTCTGCATTAAAAATGCCAGAAAGAGACAAGCGATTGAAGGTAATTCCATTTACTCTGTTTGGAACACAGGAGCCCATTGCAAGCAGAAAAGACATTCAGACTCTGATGGAAAACAGTCCAACCTTTCAGTTCTGACTAATCCTGGCTGAAAATAGTTTATTGGATTTGGCTTTACTGAAATAAACATAAAGGCTTGAATTATCCAAAAATAGTTTTTTGAATTGCAAAATTAATTTTTATGCAATAGGGTTCCCCATTTCCCCCTCTGTTCCCAGATCTTTCAAAGACATATAACTTTCTAGAGTTGACTTTTGCTTAAGTGCATGATGATTATTAAAATGGGAAATAGCCAAGGGAAAGAATCAGCTGAGAGATGAGTGTTTGCAGGCCTCTGCATTGCTTTTCATTGTGCTGTTTGGGATGGGCATGTAAAGTAATTTGCTCTCTAATCTGCCCTCTTCTCAGTAATCGATGGAATCTTTGCAGAACTCAAATTACTAATTCAATAGCATATCAAAACTAGAACCACAAACTATTTACTTACATGCTATGATGCAAATAGCTTTAGACAAAACAAAGTTTCTTAGGAGCTGACTAATGCTGTAAATTTAGTGTTGGGAGTATATATTTTTAGCAGAAAGATACCCATTTTCATATAAACTTACATACTGTGAACCTTTTGTCTATGAAGATCGTTAGTTTGCTGCACGTCATCTGCTTAATTTGCAGGGTTGTAGTTGATTGGCATTAAATGGTTTTGCTGCAGGACTTTGGCAGACCTCAGGTTGTTGTCCATGGATAAGAAGATATTGTGTTTAAATAGGATGTGAACACCTGAAAAGTGCATTCTCCTGCTTTTGAAAGATGAATCTTTACGAACTCTTCGAATCTAGACACACAAAACTCTTAACACTGAAATATTTCACTGAGTTGAATCTGAAGGTAGTTCATTCAAACCTAAAATCCATGCCAAGAAAAATGACCACATTCCTCTTTCAGAGACATGATCTTTGGGCTGCTGGGATTGCTACACAAGCTTGGGGTGGTGAAAATTCTAAGGTCCAGCCCATTTTTGTTTCATGTATATTTAACTGCCATTACTTTTCTGTATATAATAGTTAGTCATCATTGTTCTCACTGTGCTTACTGAGCCAAGAAAGGGAATGGTGACTCCGTAGTGTTTGGTGACCATGACTACAAACTGCATGAAGAACCTCTGGAGGTTATGGGAAAAGGAGGGTGTGTCAAGACCAAGACAAACTTACAGCAAGACGCTGCTGTAGTATCCTCTCTGATGCCAACCAAGTTCCCTTTGTTGCATGGGAGAATTCATTTCCTCGATCTCTGATTGTGACTCCACAGACTTACCCAGAACCTGGGGTGCACATGACTCAGGATTCTTGGTGGCAAGACCAGGAGAGGACTGTGAATTAATTATTTGGTTCTTTTACTGGGGGACTAGGATGAGTTCTTCTCCCTTTCCTATCCAAATAACCCAGCCCTTCAGTAGACCTCATTCTGACTGCTTCTGTGGAAAGTCAAGCCAGCTTCTGTCCTTGCAGACCTGGCTGGGTAGAAGAGACCAGTGGCAAAGGCTTTGAAAAGCAAAAGTCTCAACACGTAGACAGGCGGATCTCAGCTGAATCAGAAACCAAGACATGGCAAGGTTTATACCTAAGTTCATTCACTGCCCTTTGTTAACTAACACAGTTTCTAGAGGCCCACCAATCTTTTCAACTTTCTTAAACAACTGACTTTGGTAAATCTTGAGTTTTTGACTATTGAGCATTCCTGGATGTAACTCTGTGGAATTCTGTTGCTTTTTTGATTTTCCAGATTTTCTTTTCAAGTGGGAACAAGTCATAGAGACTTGGAGGTTGCCTCTTTTTCAAACTCGTTCATGTTTTTAGAAGAATGATGTAAAGTGTAACCTGCAACCATGAACGTATACCAACCAATCTACTAGCACCACAATGAGGGTTCCAACAGAGTGCTCACTAAAAATGTTTTCACCCTACGTAGGTCTTTTTGCCGTTTACTTGAAGGGTAGACATACCCGGTAGTGTTCCCACTGAGGTGATGCAGTGTGTTCTGACTGACACGAGAGGCTCTGTCCATGAGTGCGTATGCTTAGAAAAAGCCTGTCCTATCAGGACTAAGTGAGCAGGGCCCAGGGTTCTGTGGGCAGCATCAGAGCCTTTGTGCACAGTTGAAAGCAGTTGTGCTGGGGGGTTAGGGAGTGTTAATAAGAGAACTAGGGGAATGTGGGTGCCACTTAAATTTTGCTTATTTTTCCTGGATGAATTTTATCCAATAGCAAAAAAAGGAATTTGCAAAACTTTTACCCACCCACAGATTTTCATGAAAATGTCACTGACCAAAGACAGTTCTGAATTCTGTATGAATTGACTCATTTCTCCACAGGCATTCTGCCCAGCGAAATCCAGTGTATTTACTTTGGCTTGAATATTGAGCAGTTTGCTTTTTAAATAACATTGGATTATGAGCACAAGAAAATAAACACAGAACTGGGGCCATGTCCCGTTTCTCTTTTATGGCCTGATGTATGGGTTCAGGGGCCAGCTTTGGCCATGTAGGATATTTCTTGAGGAAAAGTAAATTCATTATAAACGGATTTTTCCACAACCTATATTTTGTTATTTTGATAAGATTTGGCATTGGTATGATAACCACAGTTACATGACCAGAAGGGACCTTGGGAAAATATTATTTAATTGTAGTTATTAGTTAACACATCAAAACTTTCATATTGGCAAAATGTGTAAATTCTAAAAGTATCAAGTGCTGATAAGAGTGTGGAGAATGTGGGTTGTGTTAATTTTGCTAGAAAAAGTAAATTGGTGTAACCACTTTGGAGAGCACTTTGGCAATACCTAATAAGGTTGAATATGAGCATATCCAACAAAACTTTGTTTAGATGTCTCCCCTAGAGATTCTTGCTTAGGGCAGCATGAACACCTGAAGAAGCTAAATAACCTAGCTTTCTACAGATAAAGTAAGCTAATTAACTGTGGTTTATTCCTATGAAATACTATGAAGGAGTTTAAAACTAATGAAATATGCTCCCAAATATATCCACATGGGTAAATCTCACAAAATAAAAATGAGTATAAAATATGCAAATGATATATGTGGTATAATATAATTCATGTGCATTTAAACTCACAGAAGTATTATAAAGATTTGCAGATCAATAACTATGTGGTTAAACAGAGAAATCCTATGGCCAGGGTAACCAGTACTCTTAGGGTAGTGGGTATTTCTAGAGGGGAAAGAAATATAAAATAATATGTGCAGATTTTGCTTATTGTCTTTCAAAGATGGAACCAAAATAAATATGGACAAACCTTAATTTCCTTTTAGCTTGATGGTAGTAATACAGGTGTCACAGGGAGTCTGTAAAAGTTTTGTATGCTTTTCTGTCTACATGAAATGTTTTATAAGTTTGTGTTTTTATCCTAATATAGTGGGAAATTTATTAGTATATACCCCAACTTCATTCCACACATACCATTTTTTTTTTCCAGATGAGAACAAAGCCTA